CTAAACCCCAAGCCCCTAGACCCTAAACCACTAAACCCTAAACCCTTAAACCCCAAACCACTAAACCCTCAGCCCCTAAACCCTAAACCACTAAACCCTAAACCCTTAAACCCCAAACCACTAAACCCCAAGCCCCGAAACCCTAAACCACTAAACCCTAAACCCTTAAACCCCTCAACCCTAAGCCCGAAAGGCCCCTCACCATCCTAAAGCTCCAAGTCCTATTCCTCCTACTCCAACTTGGAGGATCATGGGACTTAGTAAGTAAGGGTTTAGGGTTTAGGGTCTACTTGGAGGATCATGGGACTTAGTAAGTAAGGTCATAAGTCCCTTAATTGGGGTTATAAGTAAATATAAGTATAGTTACCTTAATTATAACCCTACTTACTAAGCCCCATGATCCTTTAAGTAGATCTGGACTCAAACCTCTGAGGGCTTGGAAGGATTTTAGGGGTAGCTTTTTGGGGGGTTTTGGGTAAAGGAGACCCCAAAGCCTGAACCCTTAAGGGGTCGCTACTTGGGTTTTTCGGTAAAGGGGACCCTAAGCCCTAAACCCTACTATTTAGGGGCCTGTGTGTAATACTGTAAGCCCAACGATGACTCGCAGATTTCGCCGGGTCAAAGCATCGGGCCGGGCACGGAGATTCTTTCTTGCGCCTTCGCTGCCCCCCTATTCCCTACGCCATACTTGTGGCTTGAAGTCTCCTGGGTAGCTAGAGGTCGTGCTTGAAGCAAGGCGGGTATAATCAGATGGGAAAAGCCTGAATATTTCTAACCAGACTGCCTATGAGCCTTCATCTTGACTTGTAGGGTAAGGGTTTCCCCGAAACTGCACTCGGTTTTGTGGGTGTAGTTTGATCCAGTCGACAATCCTAACATTAATCGAGACACGCACGGAAGACAACTTTCATATGGATGCATGTCAGGTCCGTGTCCAAAATGTCAGCCCCAAAGCCTTCTACAGTCCTAAACCCTAAACCTCAAACCTGGAACCCTAAACCCTAAACCCTTTAGTGGTATCAAGGAACGGCTATCGGCAGTGCGAGATGCCACCGCCTCTAGCGGACGATCCGTACGTGCAGGTGGAAAAGCCGAAGCGGCTTCTTTCGGATTTCAGGGTTTAGGGTTTAGGGTTTAAGGGTTTAAGGGTTTAAGGGTTTAAGGGTTTAGGGTTTAGGGTTCAGGGGCTTCTTTCGGATTTCAGAGCTTTGGGCCGTTTGGACTAGTATAGGGGTTCTAATAGTTACCCATACTAGTTTGGGGGTTCCTTGTTACAATTATCGTAAAATTTATCCTAAAGCCCTATTCTAATTGTTAAGGCTCTTGCACTAGTACGATGAGGGTTTACGGGTCCGAGATTTGGGGCTTTGTCTTTTGCGGTTGGGGCTTGAAGGCACCACCCGATCCCTGAGCAACAAAACCTGAACCCCCAAAACCGAAACACTGGAATTTAGGGTTATCAGCTGCTCAGCTATCGGGGTAGTATATTTAAGGGTTTAGGGAAGCAGCATCAACACTTGATTCGACATGCTGTTCCGCCGGAGCCCCTTCTGGCCCCCAAAGAAAGTCAAGAACCATCGTGTAAGCCAAGAAGATTCTTGGTTATGCGCTGACAAAAGGGGCCGTAATAATTACCTATACTACTTTGGGGGGTTCCTTGTTACACTTCATTATAATTCTAGTCCAATGGGCCCCGAAGCCCTATTGAAACTATTAAGGCCCCTACATTAGACTGCATCAATCTTCAACCATCAATCCACGCTCCAGAGCCTTAGACTCTCCTAAACGAGAACTCTTGCGGCGAGGTGGTGGCCAGGGGCTGCTTGGCAGAGATCTTGTGATCTGTGCGGGCTGACTGGACGGATCAAGGAGCTGGAGTCTAAACTTTTGAGGGTATAGGGTTTCGGGCATTCGGGTACCAGAAGGAAAGCAATGAAAGTGTGAGGGTTTAGAGTTTAGGTTTTATGTGCAGAATCTTCTTTTCTTACCCTAGCTGGGCCTGCCCTTTTAGAGTTTTAGATTCTGGGTGCGATTCCCACTTTATTGCACAGCCCCATAGTATCCTCCCGCCTAAACGGTAAGCCGTAAACCCCACAGATGGGACTTGGGCCCAACTCTGGCAGTTCAGGAAATCTAAGGTTAGAAGTATGGGCCCCTAATATGGACCCTGAGGCCTTTCTAGGGAGCCTTAAGGGTACAAAAAGGGTATAGAGTAGGTATATAAGGATCCCAGGGTGAAGGGCCCATACTAGGGGCCCAATGTTGGAGGAAAGGTGACGGGTTTGGGGTCGAGTTTGTGGAACCCAGAAGCCGCGCCTAACACCAGATCGGCAGAGTACAACTGAGGGCCCGAACTTGGGGTCCAACACAGGGGCCTTATCTAGGTTCCTTAGTAGTACCCTTTTGCCCTTTTTTAGTGTATTGTTCCCTTATTAAAAGTGAATAACAGGAAAAAGGGTACCCTTATTATTAATGGGTCACTCAGGGACCTAGTTATGATTAGAACAGGGTATTAGGGAGCCCTAAGGTAAGTCTTCAGGCTTCTATGGTAGCAACCTGCACGCAGCCTTCGTCGCTAAGACAGCTCCCCTTAACATATTTTGGTACGATTGGAGTTTTGGGGTTGTGGGGGTACCCGGTGCCATCTACATAGTAGCATATAGTAGCTGATGTCACAGAGTTTTAGAACACGGGCCCCAAACACCCGATTGAAGATAGTTGATCCTACGCTCCTACACCCTAAAGCCAGGCCCTCGACGAGCAAACCAGTCGTAAAACCCTACATGATCCTGCCGCCAACCCTACAACCCAAACCCCAAAGACCTTCATGACGCCTAATAAAGTCCTCCTAAACCCTAAACCCCTAAACCCTAAACCCCAAAACCCCAAACTCCAAACCGCCTTGCTGTGAGGCCACCACACCATCCTCATTCGAGCCGGGGGTTCCGCAGTGGGCGTTGGTGACGCAGCCGCGATGTTGTTGGAGTTTGCGGTGGAGTAACAGACGGGCCTCAACAATGACAGTAGGGTTCGGGGGTATATCTTATAATTTAGGGTTTTGGGGTTTAAGGGTTTAGGGGTTCGGTAGCGGATAGTATTACTAAGCCAGGCCCCAATATTTAACTGGCTTACTTAGCATTCTGGTTGGCTCCTAGGACTTTATCTCTTTGGGTTTCTATATGCAACTACAACAAGGTAGGCTAAAAGTTTAGTTTTTTCGGAGAGGTTCAGAAGTTTGCCAGGCCTTTGTTGGGTAGTTTTCGGTGGTTTAGGGTTTAGGGTTTACCCTTGCATCTGTCGGATTTTCTTGTTCTCGGCTCGTCACGGCCGGTACCCTCCAACGTACAGTAGCACTTGTGTGTTTCAGGTCTCTTGATTCGAAAGCAAGTTGCCTACAAGAAAGGGTGTACATCTGAACATCTAGATAATGTAGGGGCTTTAATAATTAGAATAGGGTTTGGGGTACAGCATACTATAACTATAGACTATAGTAAGGAATATCCACAAGATTATTGGTAATTATTTCGGCCCCAGAATTACAGTGATCGAACGCCTCTTGGCTTTCACATTCGGAATCTGTAAGTTCGCATTGTGGTCCTCGTGCTGCCATGGTCGCAGTAAGCATGGGTAAGCTATTCTAGGTTGGGTACTGCCCCCACCCAGCAACAGTTGGATAATATTCCTGGATATATTAGGCCCTTAATAGTGTCCCTATTATAGACTGTTACTGTATGGGGGCAGTACCCAAATTCTAGGCAACGCCCCCAAGGCAGAAATGATGCTGGCCAGATTGACTCCTTGGGCCATGTTGGGCAGCTTTTCAGATTTTTTTGCAGTCAAACCGATGGGCAACCCAGGAATTCAGGAAGCAGAAAAGCAAGCTAACCACTGAACTTAGGCAAGCCCTTCCGTCCTCGACCCCAAACCAGCAAAGGACATACCCAGCCTGGAGGCAGACTGTGCCTATGTGGATGTGGCGGCTGCCGATGCTCAGCCTGAGCCTTTTCGGTTTTGGGCCTCGCGTTTTTTGTTCAGACTACCGCTACCACTACTCTAAAACACAATCGCCACTACCAACTACAAGATCTACTGCTATCACTCCTGCTCATGCTGCTGCTGCTGCTGCTGCCTACTACTACTACTACTACCACCACTACTACTCCTGCTCCTGCTCCTGCCCTGCTGCTGCTGCTGCCGCGACTATTGCGACTGCCGCCGAGACCACTACTACTACTACTACTACTACTACTACTACTACTACCACCACTGCTTCTACTACAGCAACAACAACAACTGCTTCTGCTGCTGCTACCTCTACACTACTACTACTACTACCACTACTACTACTACTACTACTACTACTACTACTACTCCTGCTGCTACTACTACTGCTGCTACTACTACTACTACTACCACTACTACTACTACTACTACTACTACTGCTACTACTACTACGAGTTGATAGTACTTCGGACTTCGGGAAAAATTTCTCCTGGACTGATTATCAGA